TTTTACTGGCTGATAGTGCACTATACCAGCAGTCTTGTAGTGTAAACTGGAAAGGGTTCTGGCTAAGACTGATTTGCTACTCTGTTTTAACATGACTGGAACATTCTGTTCCTCTGTTTCTGTCTTTTCAGTGAACGGGATCACCGAAGAAGCTGATCCAACTGTTTACTCTGGTAAAGTCATTCGTCCTTTGCGGAGTGTAGATCCCACCCAGACTGAATACCAAGGCATGATTGAAGTAATGGAAGATGGTAAGATTTCTCACCTATAATTGATACTTGCTTTAATGATGGTAGTAAATACAGTTGTAAGCTCAAGGTAAATCTACATATTCCCTTTTCAGATGCAGAATAAGATTAGTAATTTAATGAACTGTGAATAGAAATGCTAAGGGTTATGTTCACACTGTATTGTTAACAGTAGAACTATCGTATCTAGTGTTGGGAATACACTTTATATGTTCTTGGTTTAAAAATAAAACTCTATTTTGTTTTTCCACCTCCTGCCCTCCAGGTGAGATGAAAGGAGAGGTTTATCCATTTGGAATTGTTGGAATGGCAAACAAAGGTGACTGTCTGCAAAAGGGAGAAACAGTAAAATTTCAGCTCTGTGTCCTGGGTCAAAACGGGCAGACAATGGCTGTTAACATCACACCTTTCCGCAGAGCCACAGTGGAGTGTGTGAAAGATCAGGTGAGTGAATACCCCTCTGAAGACAAGATCTGTGTTAACTGAGCTGGCATGGAGCACATGAGAACCCAGCACCCCGTCTATGAAGCTTCACTTGTGCACAAACTATGGCCATTTCACACTCTTGTTCTAGAGAAAGATGTTTGTGTAGCCCCCATACTGATTTTTGTAAATCCTCATAATGTGGTTTCAGCCAAGGTGAGCTAGAGCTTTGGTGCTGATAAATCACTTCTGAGCAGCAGTTCCTTTTGTGATTGATTCTGAGGAGCTGCTCTGTCCTGTTCTGTGCTTTTGTAAGAATTGATCTAGCTAGTTATTCCTGCGTATGAAATAAAATAAATAAAAATGTCCTTAAGAGGAGGGGCTAAAAAAAAAAAAAAAAAGCTTGTATGCTGTGCTACTAGAAGAGGCTTCTTCACAGCATTAAGTAGTCAGTGACTGCAGTCAATCTAAAATATGAAGGGATATGAAAGGTGATCACTGTCCTAGCCACTTGCAGTGTAAAATGATTGGAATTAATTTCTGTGAATGTGTTCTATTTTTATAATAATTTTGGAGCCCTAAGCCATAGTCGCTTAGGGAAGGGGTAGGTGGATTTTGCTGGCTATTGCCTTATGTACTTCCGTCTACTATTTTGCTTGTAGCTGGACTTTCATATCAGTAATACAGGCAAAACAGCAGAGTTGTTTCCTCCAACTTTAGAGATAGTGGTGGGGGACAAGGGGAGGGGGGGAAGAGGAGGGGAAGAAAAAAAAGACCTGCAGCTTTCTCAGTTCAATACTGCTGCTGGTGTTTGTTGGGATTCAGAACTTGTCTGTAGACTTGGCTTTAGAAGTCAGATAGGTGGCTGAGCACTGAAAAGTATCGTTTCCAGCCAAAATGTCGTCTTTGGTACAGAGCCTGCATGCACTTTTCAAAGCGTTGTGGGTGGGGTATTTCTTTGTAAGTGCAATTATGTCGTTACATCTTCTTGGATAGAAGTGAAAGAAATAACCATGTGTTGTATTGTTTTCAGTTTGGCTTCATTAACTATGAAGTGGGTGACAGCAAAAAGCTCTTCTTCCATGTCAAAGAAGTTCAGGATGGTGTGGAACTACAGGCTGGGGATGAAGTGGAGTTCTCAGTAATCCTGAACCAGCGCACAGGGAAATGCAGTGCCTGTAACGTGTGGCGTGTCTGGTGAGGACTTGGAATTAAACTGTTTATCCATCTGGTACACTGACTTCTCCGTTAGTGCTAGCATGCATGTGGCTCCTAAACTAGCTCTTCCTGGAAGTGGGATTCTAAATTTCAACTGGCTTCAGTGAGAACCTCTCGCAGGAGAGTATGGCCAGCACAGCAGCAAGACTCTCAGCTTTTCTTAATTCCATAGTGTTGTTGTTTTGTCTGTTCATTTTTCATCTATTAAGTTCTAAATAGTAGGGACTTGGGCAGTTTTTTGCTTGGAAAAGAAGAAATGATAGGAAAACTCAATGAAGTACTGTAGGTAGTTAGTGGCCTATGGCAATTTCTGCATTATACGTAATGCCACCTGTTTTCTGAAAAGCCTCTATCTTTCATTTTAAACAGAAAATTTGTTAGGCACTTTATTTGACCTACCATGTGTTTGGTATGACAAGCGGTTTCTTTCCAGAGATGTGAGTTGCCAAAACATAATTGCACAACCTGAATCTTTTGCTGGTTCAGTCCAAGGGAACAAATGTAGCAGGTGTTGTAGACACATTAGTATTAACTGGAGAATATTGTTTTGAGTTACTATATATCAAAATCCATCTCTTAGTTATGATGGTAAGGTGGCCGTCTGGCATTTTACAGAAGTTCTGATTTCAAACAAGCCAAACTATGCTAATGTCTTGGTAGGGAATATGACCATGAATTAGGTACAGCTTACACTATCTCTGGGAAGTCATTTCTGCTCTGTATGGTTGCCTGTCTTACAGTGAAGGCGCCAAGGCTGTTGCTGCTCCACGTCCTGACAGACTTGTCAATCGTTTAAAGAGCATTAACCTGGATGATGCCAATGCTCCTCGTCTAACAGTTCTTCGTCAGCCCAAGGGGCCGGATAACTCAAAGGTATGTGAGATAAGTCTAGCTTGCAGAACTGCAGGTTGTTTTGGCTTAGATGACATAGCCTTGCTTCCTCTGTTGGAAGTCTTAAGCTGTTTGAAATCTCGTGTTCAATTCTTAGTGAACTAATCCAGGTGTTAGTTGCCTTGTGCCCATAACCCGTATCCTGGTGTATTTTTTTTCTTCTATAACCCTTTTTCTTCTATAACCCTTTTTCACATTCATAAGTGAAATGTCTGTATGTAAACCTGCCTTTCACATGAAATCCTGTCATCACTTCAAGTGCAGAAAGATTACTATGTCTGGAAGCAGTGATTGTGTCTAGGACAGTAAAGGGTAAACACAGCATCTTCAGGGTTGCCTTCTTGTTACTGAATTTGTTTCTGGAAACAAATGTAGCTAATTAAAAATGTGCTCATGCTGCGCTTGGTTGGAACAAAAGAAAGTTTGCTTAAAAGCATGATCCTGGACCTGAAAATCATCTTTTTTTTCCCCTCTTTACTTGCAGGGATTTGGTGCAGAGAGAAAGATTCGCCAGGCTGGTGTTATAGACTGATTCACAAAACCCATACCTGAAGTACGACTGAGTGATGGGGGCTGGTGAAGGGTACTGAATTCATCCCTTCCAAATTCTAAGAAGCTATTACATCAGTTTTAACACCTTTTCATGTTATGTTTAAAATAAATTTATGAAACCATTTTAAAATTATGCACAGTTGCAGCCTGGAGAACTTAAGGTGGCGCCTTATAGTATCACATTTTAGAAGCTTGTTTTGAATGGTGCATTTAACGCAACTGGTAACTGCAAATCTTCATTGCCTATGTGAGTAAACATTATAGAATGCTCTACTCTGGTAGACCTTATGGAATTCTGCACTACACTTACCTATGCTTTCTTTGTTATTTTGGCCAAGGTTTTACTATGCCTTAGTGTTCAGTTGTTTTATCTCCTGCCTTCCAAGGGGAAGGTCACTTTCTGCTCGCTCTGCTCAAATTCTGAGGACCACATGAGTGCGGAATATGTTCAACTTTATATAAAATCTGTATGAACATTCAGATAAGTAGGTGGCCAAATGTTACACTGTTTTCATATTTCATTTGAATCCTTTAGCCAGTAAATTTTTGTTAGAGCTCAAAGAAAGTCTCTTTCCAGGATAGACCTATTTTTGTAGCGTTCTGAAGTGCACGCAGTGCAGAATTTCATAAGGCTGAGGTGTGCCATCAGTGTGGTAATTTAAATATATTTAAAACAATGCACAAATCTGCTGCTGCTTTGAACACTGCAGCTTCTAAACCCGGTTTCTTTTACTGATTTAAATTTAAAAAAAAAGTTGTGCCTGAAGTGAATACCTTTTTTTCCTCTTTTTTTTTTTTTTTTTTGCAGCCAGCACCCAGTGTACTGTAAAAGAATAAATACTTAGGCTTTCCATAGCTGTATTGAGACTTTCATCAAGGTGAAATAGTTGATGTCTGTGTGCTTTATTTTTTTCCCCTCTCCTCCCCTGGCCCCTTTCACCTCCCCCTTGCTTTCCCCCTCTTTCCCCAGTCACACTTTATCAAGCAAGAAAACTGAATGATTGGTCTAAGTATTACTTTAACCAAAAAGAACAGGAGTTATTTTCTTTGAATAGAGGGCAGTACTGTGTTTTTTTTTTTTTTTTTTCCTCCATGTTACCTCTATTCTCAATTTAGGGTTTTCTTCTCTGGGAGATGCATTATCTTTGTAAAACAAACATTGCTTTCTCCAATTTTTTTTTTTCTGTTAATGGCAAAGAATGGAAATAGAATAAAGTTTTACTGATTTTGAACAAAGTCTCCCCGCGCGCCCCGTGTCGTGCTTGGCGCCGCGCCGCCAGGGGGCTCCCGCGCGTC